GGACATATCCGTCGTGTGTGAGAGGACCAGGACAATTCGTCCTTGCGCGCTTGCTTGTGCTGATGCGTGTCAAGTAGAGTGTTTTTGAGGCCCAAGGTTTTGGACAGTTCTTTCTGATCATGGGCGTGTTTGAAGGAGCCCGGAGTGCGTATCAAGGCCGCAGAGCACGAGTTCTCCAACCAGAAAAAAGAGAGTGCACTTCCGTGCTGGCTGTTCCTGTCTGACCGTCTCTCGGAGACTTGCGGCTCCGAACCTACCGGAAATCACGTCAAACAAGAAGTGGTTCCTGGAGTACGTGCCGGACAATTTTAGCTTGACCACGTTGGGGCCTATACCCTGTGCCCAAGACGCGACGGGCTTGCCATTTGTCGTGCCGGGTCAGAAGATTCCGGCATCCAGATGGTGCGGGATCGCTGCACTCAAGTTGCTCGGCGAGGATCCCGAGAAAGAAGGCGAATGCATGCTGGAAGCTCGAGAAGTTGTCCAGAATGGACTTCAAGTGCACTGGGTGCAAGCTAGTTCATTCGCACGGTTCTTGATCCATCTGACGGCCTCCGACATCAAATCTGAGATCGTGTGAGCGCAATGCACTATTAATGACTATTAAATTCTCTTTGATCTCGGAGACGCAGGAGGCAGCGACCGCGAGGCCAAGAAGAAGGCGTATTTGGACAGCTTGAAAGGCAGCTTCGGTGAGCGCCGTTATAAGGCGCCCGTGTTGTTTCGCACTGGTCGATGTGGCGATTTGCAGGACCTGAACCACAAGCTTGCGAACATCGAGCCACAGGTTCTGGTGGCCATCCTTTTCGGGCGTCGGGAGCAGCATTTTGCTGTGGCGAAGTGTCTGAAGGAGTCGTGGCTTCTTGGCCGCAGTCTAAAGGACTAAAGGATGTGACCTTGCAGACGGCGGTGGGCACGGAACAAAGCATGCAGCTGCTACTGGTCAAGATGCTCTTGAAGCGCTTGGGTTCACTTTCCGTTAAGGAGAACGGCCGTGCAGGGCCCAAAGTGGTTGGACAGAGCACAGGCTTGAATGCGGACAACAGAAGTATGGTCTGTCTTGGATAATTGCACCATGGCGTGGAAGCTGATTCGCAGGGTCTTTGTGGCAGGACAGCCCGGGTTTTTCGCCAACCTCGAGACATGGACCCAGTTGAGGGGCCTGAGCTTGGACCAGGAAATTGCATGTGCCAGACGTGTTGGCATTGGAGGAGCATCTGCGCATGCTCCACCAGAAGCTGCGGGCACATGCAGCAGCACAGTGCCTTTGGAGGCTCGGGTTCGGGCACCGGCTGCGATTGAGGCGAAAGGAAAGGCAGGAGGTTCGGGCTGCGCGTGAGGCTGCACCAGGCTCCCAGCAGCTGGAAACAAAGTTTTTATGCAAGCCACGAGTTACTTGCAGCTGAGCTGTTGGAACACCACCAGCGATTCGGCCCGGGCGGGTGAATGGAGACTGTGGGTCATCCCCTGATCAATTCCAAGCGCGGGCCCTCAAAGCTTGCTACTGGCAAGTTTCCTTGTGTGAGGCGTTTTCCTTGGTCAGCGGACGTTCAAGTCCAAGATGCAGTGGTCTTGTGTTTGGGCCACGACCCAAGTGGCATGGCACTTTTCCCGCCGCAACAATCATTCGCGCTAGTCGATGCTGCCTTGTGTAGACGGGGTGCGCAATGCATGTGCATGCAGCAGGATGCGTGAAACAAGGCCATGGGAAAAGAGCGCTCCTTCACTTGGCAGGCACTTTGCTGCACGCTGTTGTTGGTATGTTCTTTGCGTGTCTTCATCAGCGTGCTGTAGCACGGCTGTGTTTGCTGCCAGATGCCTGTCGCAGCGTGCAACGCAGGGGCTTTTACTGCGAGTATTTTTTGCTGGGAATGGGTTTGGCGCCCGGATGTTGCAGCAAGAATGGGTGGTCATGAGCATGACTTGCGCAGGCATTGTCCAGTTTGCGTGCGGTTGCATCTTAGGCCCAAAGAATCGATGGCTGGGTGCGCATCCCTTGACCATCATTTCCGATGTGGACGTGTATCCATCGAATGTGGCTTACTTATCACAAGTTGTGTAGAGATGCCAGGGCAGTGCGTGGACATCTGCTTGAGAAATTTGTTTCCGGAACTGACTTTGTAGGGGATTTGGGGAGGGCCCACCACTTTCAGGAACTCCGACTCGGTCGATGCCAGATGGTCTCGAACCCGGTGAAGGGCCGAGTTTCCAGCATGGACAAAAAGGCGACGGAGGAGCTTGTGGTGAACATGAAAAGCTGTCCGGCTGCTAAGCTGTTGTGGTCGTGGAGTGCAGGATGTGTACTGTCTACTTGTGTGTACGAACCAGACTATCCATTTCCTCATAACATTAAGCTCTCAGGGGTTCCGGAACCAATCCGGACTGAAGGCTCATATGCAAACAGATCGACTCCAGGTTTCCGGCTTGGCCTGGTTGCCATTGTAATTGCAGGTACGCTGGGATGATATATGTCCCAGTATCCTGAGGTCACCATAGAGAGNNCACACGCACACACACACACACACTGTGACACTGATTGACGCACATGATCATTGCGTGCACGACAGACCATGTGACTGCAAACAAGCAAGGGTGTGCGGAACAGTCACAAGTAACACACAGGGGCAGCAGCAAAAACAGCTGCAACAGCAACAGCAACAGCAACAGCAACATCAAAATAACAGCATATCCAAGGCGGCATCCACAAAAGACTAAACAGAATCATATGCACGACAGTGCTCGTGCTGTTGCTGGTGCTGCCTACTGTCCCCTCCGAGAACTACTGATACTTGTCGTCCTCGCCCTCCCACTGCTGCAGCTCGCGATGACAACCATGGCGCGACCGTGACATTCCAGGGTTTTCATGGCGACGGATGGCTCACCTTGCAGCCGTTTGGCTGGCAAGTCGTCAAGCCCGTAGGCCATGAATGGTGCACCCCAAACAGCCTGAGCACCTCCCTCAAGCAGTGTGAGTTTTTTGGTATACGGTTTCTGTTTCCAGGACATATGGGATCTGGAGGAAGTACATTTGCCTAGCTTCTGAGAGAAGTCAAACAGCATTAAATGCCTCAATCCCAAATCTTAACCCAGTTTAACCCCTAATACACGAATCCCAGACCCGATCCTAAACCCTACCCTTACCCTCCCCCACCCCACGCCCGATCCTACACTGCAAACTCAGCCTCCTTTGTTTTGGGGCATTTGGGTCACCATGGGCGCTCAAGCCAGCTGTGAGGGGTGTCCGGAGACTCGAGACGGACCTGAGGCCGAAGTCTGCCAGGCTGGAGACGAGCATATGCATATAGCATATGCATATAGTTTTTCGGGTTGTTGCACGCAGACATGAAGGATATCAACAATCCATCGAGCCCTTGCGCCGTAAAGTCTTGAACCCCATACCCTGAACCCTCCCAAGCCCCCAAACCGCGAACCCCAAAACGCTAAACCCAAAACCCTGAACCGAAACCACCAAGCTTAACCGCTTCAAGTCACCTGGTTGCAGGTCATCCAAATCGATGTCCCGTCGCAAAAAGCGAACCTCGCTTCGGGCTCTGAGCGTCGCAACAGCCACAGGAGCATCCACAGCCTAGAGGCGCAGCTCTCATGGGGGCGGGCTGTTGTGGTAAGTGTATGGGGTGCATAGGGTGGAGTGCCTGGGGTTTTGGCACAGGATATCCCATTAGGTAGATGATGCACCCGAACGAAGATACCGACATGTTCTTACATTCGCAACGGTCCCAAACATCCACGTCCGACGTGAGCTTTGGGTTTGAACAGGACGGCCTGTTCTAACTTCTGCTCTGCAGACACATGGCCTGTCGAGCTTGGCGGCTATCTGCTCTGTTTTGCCACCATGTCTTGTACGGGGACCAAGACCCCAAGTGACAGTAGTGATCTCCGCTTTGCGGACAGCTGCAAAGCGCACCGTAGTGAACAACACAATTGCGCTGGCTTACTTCGATCTCCCCACCAGGCCTCAATTTCACGTAGGACTGCAAGACTCAATACACTTCTGGTCGGCAGGTCTGCAGGATGTAGTGATGCGATATTGTTGAGTTTGCATCGCGATTTAGTGTAGTTGTTTCGATGATACTCGCAGTGTCTTTGTTGCATGCCAACCGTAGTCACTACCAAAACACTGGACACCGAGAGCAGCCTCACAGTGGTGGCACCCAGGCAAGAATGCTTCGCCGCTTGTAAAACTTCATCCCGAAAGCAGCTTGTCACGACTGCGCAGACTCGTACTGGAACATCTTGATGGGCCGGCCCGTCTTATTTTTTGTTTTATGCAGCAGACCTCAGGCCTTCCGAGCGCCGGTCGTTGTTAAGTGATATTTTCGGCCGGCTGCTCTAGCTTCCCCCCGCGGAGTGCAAGGTTGTTTGTACATCTCTACTTAGATGTAGGAGCCTTGCGCGATGAACCAAAATCGTCTTGGCTCAGCGCCTTCGCCATGCCTCAATGTGTCCATCATCTCTGAGGGGCGAGCCTCCAACTCCAAAAGGCTCAGAGGCCCAACTGCCTCGCAGGTCGTGCCGCGGTGGAGCCGTGAATCTGCTCTGAACGTGGACCCGGCAATCATGCGAGCCTTTGCCCGGTTCGGAACTTTGGGAGTCCAGGGCTCCGGTGGACTTCCGCCCCTTTCACTTCTGCTACTTCTTCAACTTCTGCTCTTCATCTGCACCCCACTCCCCAAAGCGACATTGCGAGCCCCTTCATACATCCCAAGTACCACGGCAGGGCAGGGCGGTTTCGGACACTCGTGGGCAGTCCAGTAGCTCATGGTGGCCAGGCCGGCACGGCGCTAGTAGGCCTAGGGGGAAGCTGGGGGACAGCGGGGCCCGATTTTTTTTGCATGAGAGGGCAACACGAGTCGACAGCAAACAAGTACAACGGTGATGTATCACTATGACTACACCATCCATGCCTAAACCCCAGCCCTACACCCTAGGCCGGTACCCATGGAACAGAACAGTTCATTGGAGCCGCTTGATCGCCCAAGGAGGGATCCCACTGAAAGAGACTCTTCGATGTGGAGGGCGCCTGTGGCGATGGTGCCCAGCTGATCTTCCCCAGAAGGAGCCTCGTACAGGAGCACAGCACATCACAGAACTTATATTCTATGGAGGATTTGCGTACACTTACCCGTCTAAGTCGGTGACGGGTTCAACTGTTGACAGCAGTGGAGCCCAGGAAGCTTTCCAAGTAGACTTGAGGTGTCGGAGGGCCTCTACGAGATATTTCTGCTTCATTTGGATTAGTCGCTCCATGCTGCGTACTGTTAAGCAGTCGGTTTTCGAAGAACAACTGGCCTCGGATTCGCAAGATAGACAGCCCAGGGAAAGGCATCATTGTGGCAGCGTTCCAAGCCAACGACGCGATTCGACATCTTCTTGTCCCACACATGGGTAGCCTGGCTACGCTTCAGCTCTGCATCAAGGAACGTCTGCTGTTGAAGTTAAACAAGATGAAAACACAAATCACTCAGTTGTCCCTCATGTGGTTCGTCGTTTGGGGAGCCTATGCCGCTCACTCAAACTACTCCAAGTACGACCGTACCTTGGTGTAGTCTTGCCCTTTCAGAGTTTATATAAGGCTACTAATGGTGTTGTTGCGATCAGAAAGTGGTAGCAGCAAGTGCAGGTGGTTCAGACACCCAGGGCCCGCGGAAACTCAGCCACTGCCCCATGCATCAGACCGACCCCAGAGTTGGATTCCGAAGCGCCCCCTGCCGTCCCCAGGCAACGTCAGGACGATGGAAGTTCCTGTCCTTGTCCCTACAGCACCTTGCCCGCAGGGCGAGAAAATGGAGAACCTGAAAGGCCCCCAAAAGCCCCACACTGACACCCTGTAGGGTATTTTTGGGAGGGGCTGCGGGCTTTCCGCCAAAGCAGGTACTCTCAGCTTCTTACATTCTTTCCTTTTGCTGAATCGCTGTTTGGGTTCCTGACATCTTTGTTTGTGCTTGGTTTCTCTGCTAGCGAAGCCTGCGTCCTACATTTTGTATGGATGTGGAGCGCTGGCCCGACCACCTACACTAGTCTATGGCTACAAGCGGCTACAAGTCTATTGCATCGGATGAACCTTAGTTCACTGTTCATAATTCGGCAGAAGTGATATTTCCAAGTATTTGCGAGTTAATGGTTGGAGCTTCGTGTTGCTGTACCTCCAATCTACCGGCGCCCGGGTCTACATCAGCTTGGCGTGGGGCTGCTATGCCAGGATGGTTTCCTCTCTTGCGTCGCCCCAGTACGGTCCAGCTCTACCACTCTACGACCAATTCCTGTCGTAGCCCACGTATAATATGAGTCAATCGGTTCCGATAGCTTAAATCTTGTTGCGGTTGTGCTGGTGCGGCCGTTCTGCGAGATCGCCGTACTTTTGCGAAGGTTTAGGCCGTTGTGCCACCGTTGTGATGGGCGTGCACAGGTCGCTCGTACGGCTGGGACAACATATGCAACTCGCGTATCGGACTTTGCAGATGTTATCGCTCTTTCGCCCTACCTTTCGCAAGCTTCCTCCCGTGTGGTGACGGACGGCGTATGATCAACGGATCTCCCTCTCGGCTGGTAGAGTGTCAAGCTGCACCTACTGTCACGCCCCTACCGCTCGCGCTGCAATGGCCCAGTACGGTTGTATCATCATGCTGCTCCAGCCCATGTCTATGACATAGGCTCACCACCCAGCGTCTTTATGTATGCTGTTGCGCCACCGGACACGAAATGCAGTATCTTGCTCTTCTGATGATACGCCAGTACGCAGACGAAAGTGTGATGGCCTCCAGGTTCGGCTGGCGACACGTCCTCCTGACGTGGATCATCGTTGTCTTCGTCGTAGAGGTTCTCACGCTTTTGGACGTGTTGCCAATGCATTTCGTGTATGAGGCTTGGCTGCGATTTCGCAGGCTCGAAACCACAAAAGAGGCTCCGGGTGCCAAGCCGAAATTCGAACTTGCACCACGTTCCTGGCTCCGGTCTCTAACAGAGATGTTCAGGAGTCTGTTCTTTGGCTCTTGGGGCAGTCACCTTCACGCTCATGCCCAAACTTAGAGCTTGCAGCAACCCAGGAGACATCCATCAACGGCGAACGGCTGCGGTGCCCCTTCGGTGGCTGGGCCCTCTACATTGGCGTCACGATGCTCGGTCGTGATCAGGAACTGCAGCAGTAGGTACCAACGTGATGGCAGAAGCAGCATTCTCACAGCGCCAGTGCAGCGCTACCGGAGCACTGAAGCAGGGATGGTACGGCTGTAACTGAGATAAATAATTAGCAGAAGGAGATGCAGTAGCACTCAAGCAGAAAAGGTGGTGCTCAGCTTCACAGAACCTCGCGAAGTAGCAATGGTAGCAACGGTAATAGCAGGGGAGGCGAAGGAGGCAGGAGGAGGAGGAGCTGCAGTAGTGTGTGTGTGCCAACCCAAAGCCTCCGGTGTAGGAATCACCAAATCTGCATCCTAATCTTCAGAGTAAACCACGTAAGCGAACCCTTAGCTGTTTCGGAATATGGGCAACAGAGCATCGAGCGCAACGGCCATCCCAAGCCCTCAGCCACGCTCATTTGCAAGGATGTCCATGTTCGCTCTAGTCCTCGCGCCCTATGGCCCCGGCTTTTGCAAGCATCAGCTTTGCTTCCTGGAAGCTGGGCCTGCCTTCATTTTTCTGGCTCCACTTCTTGAGGTGGGATTGAAGGTCTGCGGCCCAAGCTTTCAGGAGCTCCTTGCAAGCCCTTTCTAACAGCTGTCCGAGCAAAGGGGTCTTGTGGCTTGCACCTGGGGTTCCTACTGTAGGTCCTAGCTACCTCGAGTCATAGAGTCAGTTGAGGCGAAGAGTGCCTGACACCTTTTGCCTGGCCGCTTGAACCCATAAGCCTTCGGTTCAAGGATGTCGTGAGCATCAACCAACTGGACGAAGAGATGATGCAGCAAGGGATCTACGGGCTTGGAGGTCGGAATCAGTTTGTTGTAGATTCTTTACTCTGCTTGTCTGCTTCGTTAAATTAAAGGCAAACAAACTATTGAATGGCGAACATGATTCTGAACTTCTCGCATCAGCCTGAGCAACTAGGTTATCTTCGTGCCCGGAGACGTACGCAAAGGACATTCATGTGCAAGCCTTACATGCCTTTCGTACCTAAAGATCAGCACCGATCATGCTGTCGCAGGGCAAGGCTGGTAAAACAGAAAGGCTGGATCGTGCGAATCACTCTTGGCATTGGCTCGCGTTACGCTTTGTTGGAATTCCGGCACAATTAGGGCTTGGGCATGCTAATCCGTTTCATCGTGTTCGAGGCATAGCATAGCAGTGCACCCTTAAATGTAAATTAAAATCCTCGGCAGCCAAGACCCACTCAGCTGACAGCCTTGCGTTTTGGGAGGCTTTCTGAGCGCATCGAAAGAGCCTCTTGTCTTCAGCAGAGTCGCGAGGCTCGTGTCTTCAAGGTTTCTGGGTGGAACTCGGAAAACGACCGGAAACCTTGAGTCTCGACATTCCGATTTCACATCCTCCTGTCGTGGCGCACAACGGGAGACCTGTTGATGGAAGCAACTGCAGATTCTCGCAATGCGAGAGTTCAAGTGTTAGTGTTAGTGAGTGCACACAGATCGCATGTGAGCGGAGGTAGCAACATCAACTTGGTGACTGTCAGGTAGCCCTGCACTTGCGACGGTTTGCATGGCTTGTCGCATGAGCCACGTGTTGGACAGGACCACATGATAGCCAAAACAGGCCCAGTCCCTTGTGACGGTGTGCTCTCAGTGTTGGTGCTGCTTCCGTAGAAGCGCAGCTTGCACCTACAACGACCGACCAGCCGACAAAGTATCTACCTGCAAACTAAGAAAATGCAACTCTCCCACTATTCAACTAACTCAGCCATACTACCACGTCTGTTCTGGCTCCTCACCTCCACCACAACCACCAACAACAGAAACCTCCAACCCGGAGAGACACTAGTACTTGCAACAGCTGGAGATTATTTTCGCAGTCTCAATGAAAGTCTAAGTGTCATTTCCACGACACCTGATTCCAGCAATCCCGAGCTGCACAAGCACAGCAAGCTTCACAGCCAGGCAGCAGAGGTCACTCAAAGTCTGATCGGTGTGTACGACGGCCGTTCATTGCTATTCGCTCTTAGATCCTTCTTTGTCTCAGGAATAAAATGTTGGTATTTCAAGCATGGTCCAGCAACAAGATCACGTTCCCACGGTCCCACGCCCAAGCTTAAACCTCCTGTCCTCAATGCCAAACTCTTGAACCTTTGACCTCAAATCGAAGAATCCTGATTTGTTTCAACCCTTGGCACTGAAGCCTCAACCCTAAATTGTATACGTCCCCCAGACAAAGACAGCAGCCTGAACCCGAAGCCCGACAAAATCGAGGCTGAGGATCCTCTGGAGCCAACCCTACCTCTCGAGGCAGGATCGCACATTTTGCGGGCGCCTGTGCATGTTTTCCCAGCACTACCCTGCAGGGTTCTGCAACATGCTGTAATGTAGTATCTGCCATACCCCAAAGTTGCCAACGCCTGATTCCAACTCTTGAAGCCCTGTTTACTACCCCCCCCCCCCCTTGTTAGATCCTGGTGTTCTATATGAGGTATCCTTATAGGTGCATGGCTGTTTCCAATGTCCTGAACGAGCGAAGCGGGGGCGTTGTTCCAGTTTTCGGCCGTTTTGGGAGAGCGGATATGGCGCCTTATGGTATGTGCGTCTTTACCTTACCCTGTGTATGTATGTATGCTGCATGCGTGTAGTATGCATGCATACATGCAACCAATGTAGCTATGCATGCATGTGTGCACGTACAGACAGGCGTGTAGGCTGGTGTACGTGACTTCAAGCAGAAGAAAAGGTTGAGAGCTTTTCTGAACTTTGAGAAGGCCAAGCTTTCCTCCTTATTTGCCCAGTAGTGCCGACTCCTACGGCTACGGCCATGGCTACTGCTACCGCTGCTCCAGCAGGCTTTGGTGCGTCTTCGAATTGGCAGCCTTTCGAAGCTCGGAGATGTGCTTCGCATAGGCCTTCGATTGAAAATTTCCCGAGATGGCTGGCTCACGGTTCGTTTTGTCTGGGATCTTTATGCCCGATAATGCCCGGGGGTCCCGGGTTTTTTTTTTTAAAGGTTTGGCCAAAGTGGGTTTGTAAAAGATTTGGCTAGGCCCTTGGTTCGCTAGTCCGCTGGTCCCTTGGTCCCTGGTCCTTTGGTCCGCTGGTCCGCTGGTCCTCTGGTCCTCTGGTCTTTGGTTTCTT